CAATTGGTTTTAACCCTGCAAGTGCTGTGTGAAATTTGGCACAGCTTCAACACTTGCACTGAGGAAGAACTAACAATTCACCAATTACACACAGTAAAAACCAACAGCTTTGGAAAAAAATAAAGTGATTGAGTAATTGCATTCACTATGCTTACCTGCTACAAAACAACATGGAAACTGTAATTCTGCTTTAAATAATTACATTTTCATTGGAAATCCCCTGTCCACATTCAGTTATGACAGGAGCAACTCCTGATTTCTGCTTCTTGATGCTCCTAATAATGTAGTTTTCACAATCTGTCTATAAATATCTTTAAGAAACCTAAAAAGTGTCCTCAAACACTTTGTAGAAAGCTGTTGAAAGTCCACAAGAAAAGCTTTTAAATACTTATCACTAGCATTACATCAATAACTAAAGAACTTACAATTTTTCCCCTGTGATATTTTTATTCTGCCCCACATTCTCAGAGTTATTTATTCCAATGTTGTTAAGTTCCATTTATTCAGTGTGGGCATCCAGATGTTAACAAGACAAAAACAGGGATTATCCCCCCTACTTGTACAACTTACAATTTGCAGGGTTTTATTATTACATGTTTTTGTCTATATTATTTGCTGTTTCTTTTTAGAAGTCTTGCCAAAAAAAGCAAAACCCACTGTGTTGTCACGACTTTTATTGCTTTATCTTAGAGTAGATAATGGGTTTACAATGCATATATTTCATTTCTTTATTCCCAAATGGTATTGCAAATAACAACTTGGCAATCTGTAACAACTACTGACTTGTCAGGATATTTAGTTGACTATCTATGACCTGTTTATATTAAAAAAAAAAAAATTGTTTTGTACTAATTGGAATGTAGATTTATTCCTGTAAACTGACAACATTAATCCTGGAAAAGCCACTAGTTCATGTGCTAACATGGAACAAGCAGGGATGAGCCAGACCTCTGCAGATCCTGGGGATGTCCAGGCTACCACTGGTGCTGCTGCAGGAGGAGGGATGCTGAAATTCCTGAAAGCAGCCAAAGAAATTGGCTCTCAAGTGCCATAAAATTCCAGGGGCACCGCTTACAACCACAGTCAGCCCAAGGTATTTAGTTTAAACAATGATTAATCACGGTTGAACCAGCCTTTTGTTTCTTTTTTTGACATCTCAGAGCCCTTTCTGGTATTATTCCATGTATCTGAAGTCTGGCCATTGCTTGATACTGAAGGAGACTGTTTGAAATAATTCCATTTACTTTGGCCTGCATACAAGTCTTGGATAAAGGCTTCAGTCAAAACACCTCTCCCCATCATAGAATGGTCTGAAAATGGCACACAGAGATAACACAGCAAGCAGACATTAAATCTGTTGTGCACTTCAAAGGACACTGGGAGTTATTTACCAGCACCAGTGGAGTGGCTTCAGGGAAAGCAGATTATTGACCAAAACAAGTGCTGATACAAGCTCCAAGTGCAGCATCTACCTGCAAATATTGACACAGGAAAAAAAAAACCAACTCACAAAGCCCTGGACTAAGGAAACTCCCCTAGAAAACGTCACCAACAAATCCCTCCCCACACTAAAACTTAGAGGAGAAAATGATTTAACGCCAACAGGGGCCCAAGAGCAAACACACAGTAATTCTATAAATATGTTTGTAAACAAGTGTCTTTAGGTGAAAAACATTAACAAGTGCACATACAGGACTTAAACACATGAGAAACAACCCTGAGAGCAACCTCATCTGAAAGCAAAATACTTGCTTATACTTAAAATTTGATCACACGCTCCAAAATGCATTAGGAAAAAGACTTTGCATCTTATGACTCCTGGAAAATCTTCCAGGAGACTATTTTCCAACATAAGAACCACCACATCTAACAGAGCCTGAGAAGGTTTGCCACAAGGTCATGAATTTCTTCAGAGAACCATTTTAATGTTGCATTGCCCCAACCTACCCAGAAAAAAAAATGGAACAAAGCCATTGCTTCAGGTTTTCCTTTGGATTTTTCCATATTAACACAGCGAACAGGACTACAGAAATCCTTTTGTCTCAGTTTAATGTTGATTTTATTTTACCAGTTTATAAATATTAACCCATACATGGGAACAAATCTGAGAGAAGCTGGGAATTAAAAAACAGTCTAAATGTCACAATATATTCCCTTTCCCCATCTTAAAGTAATTTCCCTGGGACTCCACTGTTTTAAAATCCCATTGCAATCCATGCAAAGGCTGCTTGGGAACAAAAGGAATGGGAAGAGTGAGTCAAAAGGGAGCTTTATTTTTAAAAACCTCTGTAATTATGTCTGATCCATGGGTCAGATGATACTCTAACCATTCATCTTCCTGCCTGATAATGCAGAGTTCTTCAACTCTGCCACTGAGCCACAGGAATCCTGACTTGGGATTGGCTTCCAGGACACTCAGGCCTCCAATCTTCCATTGGATTACACACTATTCATGCCCCAAATTGTGTCATTTGTGGAAAGATAATCCTTCAGATGAAAAGGTCACCCAGTGACCCCCACATATTCTCTGACCTGTCCAGCTGTAGCTAAAAATATCCAGCAGCTGCCCAATATTATACCATAATACTATAAAAAATTAAAGATTAAAATTATACCATTGTCACACCAAACACCAGTCACTGGGATATACCACCAGATATTACCAATGATTTAAAAAACAATGTTTGACTGCTATTTTACACACATAAAAAAGGCAGGATCCAGGAAGAGGTGTCTACAACTTTCAGTGCCAGAAGGTGTAGGTGTTCTTCACATGACACTGCTTATACAGAGAAGTGACACTGTGCTGAGCCTCCCTTCCTAAAAATTCTAGGAGAAAGTTTGCAAAGAAAATTACAAGCAAAGGATAAACCCCCTGTGGGGTTTGCTTTCCAGCTCCTTCTTTTTTTTTTCCCCCTCCTTTATTTAATTTCCTTACCTGCCATCAGATTAACAACAGTTCCCTCCAGCCTCTCATTCTTTCCATTTTAATACCATTAAGGGAAGGGAGCCCCTAACATCTCTATTAAACTGTAATAAAGCAAAGTCTCCAACATGTAATGCCTCTAAGTCAACCAGGCATTACTGAAATTACTTAATCTGCAAAGTTCAGTGCTTGCCCACCCTCCTTTTGCATTCCCAATCCCTTCCCAGGAGCAGCAGCATTATCCAGACCCATTTCAGGGCTTAGCTTCAGAATTGGTTTCTGGGGTATTATTTCAGTGAGGGGAAAGTGGAACTACACGGAATTAATGTCAACTTGGTTTTCCAATTGCCTTGCTTTTGGCTGCTCCTAAAACAAATATGCCCAGGAAAAGAAACATAAAATAGAATTAATTGATTGAATTGTTGCTCTCCCAATACATTATGTGTGTCTCTGTGTGTTCTAATTACCTGAGTGCAGGTTTTCTCCTTCTCCCCCCTCAGCTTGAACCACCTAAACACACTGAGATGTGCAGGTTTCTGGAAGACTAAAATGCACATTCTACCCAATCACAGCCATATCAGACAATCATTAAGTCTAAGCAAGGGAAGAAAAAGGGTTTTTGTGGGGGAAACAAAGAGTAAAATAGCCCCACTACAATCTAATCCATTTCCAAGACTTGAGAATGAAATCTAGGAGCATTGTGGGAATCTCATGTTCCTGATGGAATCATTTCCAGATACCAGCACTGGCCCAACAGAACAGGCACCACACCAGGATAAATAACATCAATGTATAGTGGCTCTTGAGGTTAGCAATTAATCTTTGTATTTAAATAGTTCGCTGGCTACTTTATTACATTTATTAAATCCACGTACACAAAGTTCATGTTTTTAATAAAACACTACAAGCAGCTGAACCCAAAGTTTGTTAACCATGATATCTTTCAGAACTGGAACACTTTTTGCTGTTATAGCCAGATTTGTTTCTTTTCCCAAGTGCCCCAGCAACCCAAATGCATTCTTTTTACAAATCTTCAACCCTGCAGGTTGCAGAACTTTGGCAAAAGGGACATGCACACACACAGACAAACATCTAACAAAAATAGAGGGAGGGATTTGTTATTTGTTATTTTCAGGAGACTGAACCTTTGAGGTCACCTGAAGTGTAGACCATGAAAAAGCTGAAATTTTAATGAGCCCCACAATTTTTTGGATATTTGCAAAACAGCTGAAAATATTGCAGACTTCCAGCACACTTTTGGGGAGGAAAAAAGGAAATGAAGGCACTGCCCCTCTTACTCTAGATTTTGTGAGCATTTTATCTTTTCACATTATTAACAGATATAAATGTGTAAACGTCCAGGAAATTGCTATCAATGTTCAGTGCTTGGGTTGTATCATAATAATGTTCAAAAGCAATGATGCACTTACAGAGAAAAGCTCTAAAACACAGAGGAAAGACACTCTTAGGCACTCAGGGCTAAATTAAGCTGGAGCCAACAGGGTTCCAAAGGAGGGGTGGTGACACTGGTTACCCTCAGTATCCTGTGGGTTATCCTGAGCCCCTCCAAAATCTGCTACCTGGCTCAAAATTGCTGCTCACCAAACTTCTCACTGATTTCAGGGGCAGAAAAGTCCCCCATCTTTAACAAAAAAACAAGGAGGAGAAGCCCAAGCACAGCCAAGCCCACGAAGGCATCTTTATCACTGTCTCTGGTCACCAAACAACAGTTCCAATAATATAAAAACCTGAAAAAAGGGAGAATTTCAGTCTACTGGAAGAGATAACTGTAAACACAACCAGGTAACCCAATGACAAACCATTATCTTGAAAGCCTCTCCATATGAACTGCTCTTAAGCCAAGCTGTAACAAAGAGCACACGCAGCTAAATTTAAAATAATAATAATAAAAAAACTCCTAAGCCAAGTTAAATAGTAACCAACATTCACATTTAACCATATAAAGCCTACATTAAAATCCAAAATGACAATTACAAAATATTATATTACTGTGAACACTGTCAAAAGCTCTGAATAATAGCACACTAAGGAAATATGTAAAAACACACTTTACCTTGTATCTCATTTTGGGGCACGAATGGATGTAGAAACCCATATAATAAAAACAGAGATCAGGAGCCTTTTCATGAAGCTGCCTGGTAAAAGCAATTTCCCTGGGAAAGGAAAGAAAAGACTTAATTACATTTGAATATGATTCTTACAGTCATTTTACCTCTTCATGTTGAAATATTTTACAGCTACCTGGCTCTTGATCTATTTAAAGGACTAGACCTCTGAAAAATAAAATATGAGGATCATAAACTCCAAACTAATGTTTTTAAAAAAACCCCAAACATAATAAACTGAAAATTAGGACTTAAAACCCAAACAAACAAATCATCAAAATGCACAACACCACGTCAAGCTTAGAAATACTTTCATTTTTGTGCCTTGTCCTGCCAACTGCCAGACTTGAAATTGAAATAAAAGTGATTAATAGCCTGTGATTAACAGCTTTCTTATTAATATTCATGTATGCTGGAATTCTACAGAAATCTGGCCCCAGCCATTGCACAGACTGGCTAACCTGGCTCAAGAAATCAGAGTATTTTAAAAAAAAATAGCTTCAAGGATAAGCCTCTTGTTTGTTTCATCATTTGTGTCCCAACAATCTGCACGTAAAAACGTCCATCTTTATGCAACAAAAGGTATTTTTCACCCATCCCATGATTGTTGGTACGATTTTCTCGTTTATTTTGAAAGAAAAGCATCAGTGAATTCCAAAATAAGTTTGCTTTTTACTTCACTGATACAAGGAAAGCAGTGCTATTACAACAGTTCAGCCAGTGCTTCCTCTATAATGATCATTTTTACAGCTTTTCTAACTTTGCAGATCACTTTTGTAACCAAATTAGCAAAACAGGGATGTGGGTTCTTGCTTTCAGTGACAAAGGAATTAAGATGTCCCTGCTCACTGCAGGGGAGTTGGAGCAAATGACCTTTAAAAGGTCCCTTCCAGCACAAACTCCTCTATGATCCAAGATACCAGTACATGAATATAGGAAGCATTTACAAATCCTGGAGATTCTTTATCACTTAATATTAAATTAGTGAGAAAGATGCCTCAATGTACTGAAAATTTAACATTTCAGTTGTGTGTGGTTTGCTGAGGCAATCCTGAGTTTGTTATCACTCAGTATCTGTTCAAAACCAGGGGCCTGACTAGAAACCAAACCTATTCCATATCTTAAAATTCAGACAAATACAACAGATTCCAGAAGTGAGATTTATACCACTAAAAAAAGTACAAAAATGCACTTCCTATACCTAAATCTTCATGAGTCGTAGTATGAAATTAAACCACCTTACTGTTCCATGCAGGTTATCCTGGACCTAATTAAACAAACACCTTCCTGAAATTCAAAAGCTGGAATACTACAGGGGAAAATCACATTATTGGGCTGCAGCAGCACGTCTTACCATGGGCAGCAAGGCTTCAAGCAACCAAATTAGTGCCTCTGATAGGAAAGGGAGCTTGAACCACTGCCAGTGTCTTCACATTCCTGCAGGCTCCAGTGATATTGCTCTAGGTTTGACCTCAGGTTTGTCCTCTGTCCTTCATTTATCTACCCAGTCCACCCCACTCCAGGTAAAGTTTTATTGGGAGGGTGCTGTGACATCCTTTCCTTTCTGCTTTCCAGGAGTGTGTGCTGTGATCCAGTGCAGGAGAGTCCTCATTGACTCCATCATTCCACACCAGGAGCAGCAAGGATGTGTCACTGCCTGGCACAACACAACCTTCACACCTTCTGCCTAAATCTTCCCCCCTCCAAAAAAAAGCACCATGGACTTGCAACTATTCTTTTGTAAACCTTTCATTTATGGTCCTCTATATATCTATAAAGAGTTAGAATGGCACATTAGGAGTCAGGTAGTGAGAAAAACATCCAGCTCATCAATACAAAAGTCAGACTTAGCACTGGCAACAGCTTTGATGGTATCAGTTTCCTTTGCAACTTCCTCGATCCTCCCCAACTCCACTTTTTTTTTTCCTCCCTTTTTGAAAGAAGAACAAAGTTGGTTCCCTCTAAGACTGTTGGGAACTCGTTTTTATTGCCTTAAATGCCACAGAATTTACAAGCTGATTTTCACAGGTTGAGCCCTGGTGCACTGACACAGCTTTAAATTTGTTATATAGAAACAAATAATGAATGTGGTGGGAAAAACTCTGACATGTGCATTTGCACAACTCATATAAGGGTTATTCAGAAATCACAAAGAGAATACACCCAAAAGGAGAATTAAAAAAAAAAATACAGATTTTGATTGGGATCTCTTGATTTCCTAAGGATCTAAACAAATTCAGATTGGACTTATGAGCGATTAAGTTGCACGTGGTTTCTTAGTTACAAAAAGCAAAAGTTTATGAAGTAAATGTGGCACAAAGTTTCCTAAAAATAGTGTTTGTGCTTTAGGTAGTTCCAGTCATGCCATTTACCCACCCTGCTGGGTAACACTAAAAAACAGCTGAGAAGCTCCACCTACAGAGAAGATGCCTCTCAACAGGATGTCTTGGAGAGAGAAGAAAACTGGACCTCACAACTTTAGTGCTTCTTTTGGACCTGGAGGAGCTCAGTGCAAACCTCAACAGGCAAAAAGAACTTGTGCTACAGCTTCTCAAACTCAGACTTGAAAACAGACAAGTCTGCCACGAGGTTCAAACCCAGGGAACACCACATGTCTGTCACCAACTCACCTCATGTGAGCAGAGAAGCAGAAAGGTAAGGAAAAAAACCGAGATGCACAAGTATTTCCACTCACTATGTTTTTTTTTTCCCCCCCATTATAATAATAATGGAATAATAAAATTGCTTATGAAAGAAAACCAGTAACGTGCAATTTCACATACAAGTCTAGTTCACAGTGACATTACCCACTATTCCTACTGTTTTGCAAGACTGTTGATAGTTAATTTAAGGCTTTAAAATTCATAGGATTACTCTCTCCATCAGCCTTTCTAAAGGCAAAGATAATGAGATTAACACACCTGAAAAATATACTTAGTGCTAGTACAGCGGGAGATTACTAATTCAGAAGACAATGTTTTTTAGGTACTCTGTTATTTATGATCTCAAAGTGCATAAAACTATAAAAGTGATTAATTTCATTTGCTGACTGGGCTAAGAAAAAGGTCAGAGGAAAACTTATTTCTATTCAAACAAAAAAGGGGCTTTTCCTGCTGAAACCAAGCAATGCTAAATTATTTTCAGGGGCAATAAAAACCAGGTATTTCATTTCTGAGTGTTTCCTTAATCTGTAAAAGTATTTAGCTAATGAGAAAGATACATCCCTAGCCTTGATGACAATTAAAAATTTATTTGGGATGCGACCAATCACAGAGAATTTAAAAAACAAACAAACAAACACAAAAAACAACCAGAAATATTTTGCTAGGTATAGTTTTACTAGTATATGTTTAGACAGAAAATAAATGCACAAGTTTAGACACAAGAATCAGTTTTTACCGTTACATCCAAGCAGGTAATGAAAATGTCCTCTTACCGTAATGCAGAGTAGACTCCCAAAGATAAGAAAGAAAAGTCTGGATCGTAGTACAGGTAGACAGAGGACACACAGTAGGGCAGGATATCAATGACACCAACAGCAATTATCTTCCCATCCAGCCAGTACTGCTGGTGGAAAGATCCATAGCCACATTCCGGTCCGTTTGGGGCGTGCTCTGCCTAAAGGGAAACAAGAGAGGGATGTCAATGCCTGCCACAATTCCAGTATGAAAACAACCTTAGGAAGAATTCTAACACACAACTAAATACTGGGAAAAATTACTCTGGCCTTCAGGAAAAGAAGGAATGTGAAAAGCAGGGAAAGCAGCGTTATTTCCCTGGATCATTTGTGACTTTGCTGTATTTATGATGGGTAAACCCCACGCACCCCACAGCCCAAACACAAACCTGAAATAGCCACTGAGCATTGATGGGACTGACAGGATAAAACAAGGTGATTCATCAAGTTATTAATGCACTATTACATGCAAACAAATTCTGCAGACAGCCTTTAATGTGACCAACCTACTCTCCAACAAGGAGCAGAAAGGTGAATGCCATGTCCCTGTGCCAGCCCTTCCCAAGGACCCCTCTGTCCCCTCTGTGTTCCCAAGCACTGGCAGCACTTTGGCCACAAAAACTGAGTTTCTCACAGTGGCCATTAAATTTACATCAGAGGAGCATTCCATAAAAAGAAGTGAACAGTTAATTCTTTATGGAACATTTGCTCTTTTAGGGTTTACTCTCTGTGTGACCAATGAAATACCTTTTATCTAAGAACCTGAAACTGTGTTGCAACAAAATCTGTGGAACTACTGCTTTGTCAGCCACGTCAGAGAATCTGCTGCAAAAACACCAAAGAGCTGGCTATTGTTGTGTGCTGTGGTTTTGGATGTGCAGTGAAGTTTGCCTCTGGATGGGGTAAAGCACCTCGAGCCAGAAACTGATGCTTCGAGTTAAGAAGAAAACGATCCCCTAATTTAAACTGTATTACACAACCAACTCTGGCATTCCATTTTCTCCCACGTCAAGTTTACTTTAATCCCGAATTCCACTGTGCTCAACTTAATTATCCATCTAGTCATGTTTTCCACTGCGTTGCCAGGTCTTCAGAAAGCTGCTTCTCACTCAATAAATCTGACAATATTGCCTGCTATTACCAACTGTTTTGCATTACAACAACAGAAGGTGGGTTTAATCAAGTATTTTGATACAGTAGCACAGGCTGAAGAGATGATGGGCAGGAGAAATTACTCTAATTGGTACCACATGTGTCAAAAGAAATCAATCACGTGAGCAAAAATCATTCCAACTCACTCATCCGACCAGCAAGTCCCAAAACAAAGGCCACACAACGAACTGTTTGCATTTTTATACAGCCATACAGCACAAAAGTAGATGTGGAGCTATGAATACTCGAAAAGTGAACTGGTTAAGCATTTGAGAGCTCCATCTGCAGTATAGGAGGATGGAAAAGACTTTTCACCCAAAGCAAAGTCTTCTGAAAGTTAAAGAAATGCTGTGTCTGTGCGTGACCCCAAACCTCCAGAGAGCATCCCAGGGGTTTTGGTCACTGGAACTCTGCAAACTCAAGTTAAAAAACTTCTGGTAAAGTCCAACCTACAGTTATTTCACTAATGCAGTTACAGGGAAATGTCAGCAACATAAAAGAGTCTGTGTTCTGTAACAAACATAACGAGCACAGCACTGATTTCAGGCAGAGTGTTCAGAGATCCCCATTACATTAAGCAAATAACATTTTAAAAAGGGTAAGACTTTCCTCCTCCTTCCAAAGTCCTCCTACAATGTAATCCTTTGTAATGCTTGTCAGGGTTACGTTTTCTCCCATTTCTCAATGAATACTTGGCTCCTTTCACTTGATTTCCTATGCACCATCCAGGCAATTTGACCTCAGCCAGGTCTAGAGTATGAAACATTTTCCTGAAGCAGGTTATGCCATTCCCTCCACTGACATCTCCACTGGGACCATGTTTGTCAGGGGTGATGTAAAATACACCACTGACATCAGGTGAGCAAGACCCAGCAGAAGGGTATTACCTTATCTAACCAAAACAATGCCTTGGCCTGGAAACAGTCCAGAGGGACCAATTTATTTCAAATTAACAGTTTATACTCATATTTCAATACAATGAATTATTAAAACCTGATTATATTGGGGAAAAAAAAAAAAAAGAACTAAATCCAGGACAAAACCATGTAATTTTCTCTCCAATGTTTAGACTGTAATGCAGAGAAAAATACAATATATTCCATTACATGTTAATTTTACCTATCTTAGTGTTCTGCTAGCTAATGATCCATGAACATATTTGATTGCTCATATTTTAAAACACATGATTAAAATTTAAATATTTAATAGAACTGGCATTATATATTGCCCAATTAGTGCATCTCAATGTAATAACTGCTTATAATTGAACTTCAATGATGGTGAGAGTGCTCAATTTTCTTCGAGGCACATTGGTCATTCTTTAATTTTTAAGAGGTGTTTTACTTATAATTACCAAAAATGGGCCCTGCCCCTACACCCCATGAGTATTTTTCTCTGGAAGGTTGAATGAAACTTCGTATTTTGAACTTTTCCATTTTCCCCTCCTTGTGGATGGCAGGAGGAGGAAGTTATGAAATCCATGTTATCCCTTACCCAGAGGAAAAAAAAAGGCAGGAAACTCTTGACTCCTACACTCCAGTGGAAATTCTTTGCCAAATAAGCAAAGTGATTAATTCCAGCAGTTCCTTTCCCAGTGGCACACACATATGGCAGATTTCTAGCCCTTGGTTAGCCAGGTATTCCCTTTTAATTAGGGATTGGTGGAGATGCTGTGCAAGCAGCTGACAAACAGGGGCTGTGGCAGCAGAGGGGCAGCACTGCATGTTTGTGCTGAGGAAAAAAGGCCAACAGCATCCTGGGCAATGAGGAACACAGGGAATCCAACCCGAGCAGAAGGACAGAGGTTTGGACTCAGAGGATGGACCAAATAATGGCCCACAGTGAGCAGGTGATCTCAACATGTCCCTTCCCACCTGAACAGTTCTGTGATTCCAGATCTAAACTAAATAAATCAACTCACTGCATCACAATATGACAGTCCTTACAGAGCCAGCTTCTGCACCTGACTGGAAAAGTCTGGAATTTGAGCTACACTCACAGTGAGCTTAAAATCCTACAAGGATTAGTGAAGCTGTGAGGGCACGAAGGACTTCAGCAGCAAGAGACTTTGAGCATCACCACACAAAGGTCGTGGAGATGACTGGGGAAAAAAAAGCAATTTGCCAAAATCCCTCCATGAAATATGGTTTTTTATTTAGTCCTGAGCAATGTATCAAATGCAAGTAAAATATGACATCCTACAGAAGGAGATCCTGGGAATTACAGACCTGTGACCATTTATTATTATATCACTAAAAATTAAGTATCAACTCCATAAACAAAATAATGCAAAGCAGAAGCTGATGTGCTTTTTGAAGAGCAAAGACTGAGATTCACAAACACCTTTCAGTCCTTTAGCATTCAAAAGCCTCTTCATAGGTATAACAGGAAACAAAGTGGGAGCAAATGATCATTTGCACAACAGAAAACAGATCCCTTTCCATCGTGCTGGAGCCGTGTTCTGCAGGTGAATCCCTGAAGACTGAAGGATGCTGCAGCCAACCAAGATCATGACTGAGAAGTATTCAGGACACTTAAACAAGAACTGAGTGTAAACAGCTACAGAAAGATCCCATAATACTGATTTACCAAATGTTCATAAATCCACGGAGCAGAAATACATGCAGGAAAAAAAACTGCTGTAGACACACCCAAAACAATGGGTATAAATTACCAGTTCCTTCAAAAAGATTATTTTGACAGCAGCGTTATGAAATGGACAATTTAAGGCTTCACATCAGTCAACACGAAAAAAAAAAATTAAAGAGCAATTAGAGAGTAATTTGAAAACAAAACAAAATCATCCTTTGACTGCAGAACGCCACAGCACATGCAAGTGCTGAGGCTCACTCCAACTGCTGTTGGAAAACCTTGAGGAGAACAAGCACTGAGATGACTGTCAGTGATGATGACACAGCCACTGGCCCAGAACATCCCCCTAATTCTCTGAGCACCAAGAACTAGGAATCACTCTGAGCAGCCCAGATTTTCCTCGTGCCCTTCTCCCCCTGACAGCAGCAGGGTACCAGGACACAGGGTCTGGGTGAGTCCTCAGGCCACTCTGAACCACCATGACAAGGTTGTGTTTGCACGTGTGAAGTGGTAAAATGGCAAATGTTTAAAAGTAGCCTCTAAAACAAAAGGATGGTTAAAATGACATTCAAACCTCTCTTTACATGACCCTGTTTACTGCTAGAAAACTGCCTAGTTTTCTGCTACTACACACTGTATCTTTTTTTTTTTTTTTTTAAAGCATTCATTTTTTTGGTGCCAGAGCCCCTAGCCAAAACAGAAACCAAACTGAATAATAAATTGAGAAAACGAAAAAAAAAAGACAGGAAGAGTTTGGGTGTTCATGCTATTCGCAGCTAATAATAACATTAAAAATTCAAAACCCGACAAATTGAAAACACATTAAGGTTTAAATTCTATTCCGAATTATTTTTGTTCAAAAGAGTAAACAGACTGCACACTGCTAGGTTTGCTTGTGGCAACTGCTTCAGAATAAAGAATTTCAAGAATCCCGTGGCCTCTGATATATAACCCCTTTTATTTAACTTCATCTAATTGAAGACATCTGCGGTGGTGCCACACAAAATTTAATTCAAGCTTGGAAATGTCAATAAAAAGTGTCTGTAAGAAACAATATCAGTGCAAACCTGGCAGGGCAGTGTGCATCGACATCTACGGAGCCACACAAAATGAAGACTGTAATGGCAGTCTGCTGCCTGAGCTGACGAGGTGATAAAAGCCCTTTTCCTATAAAGTCTAATGAGCTCTATTACTCTTCAGCCTTCAGGAATGCAAAGGCCAGCGGACTCGGCAGAGAAAAGCAACAAACCCTCCACACATGGATTCATTCAACGTGCGACAGATCAAATTACCGGTGTAATTACTATAACCTGACAATTTCATTACAGTCAGGAGGCCCTTAACTCTTTAGGGCTAACAAGAAAGACAGTGCAAGAAACCCACTTGGAATGAAAGAGCAGCAACCCTCCTCAACCTTTACCTCAGACTGGAGCCAAATACGAGTTTGGCAAGTTACACATTCTTTTCTTTTCACAGAAACAAATCAAAACCCAGCAAAGACACAGCACTTTCTGCTTCTTCTTTCCAATGCAGTGCTGTGACATTCAGTGGTAGCTGATTACCCAGAAGTATCATCACTTCCTTACCAGCTGGTGATGATGGAAGTTCTGTGCCACCCACCACCCTTACCAGAATGGTTGGCTGACTACGGAGAGTGTAGAAGAAAAAGAAACAAACATTAATTTCAGGACAAATCCCTACCTCCAGAGGAGAATCACACAGGAATCGTGTGAACTGCAGCGAGGTGGGTTCATCAGCAACATGTGCCCAAGGAGATGGTCCAAATATGCAAAGCAGAAGAACAAAGAAAACTATTAGCAGTGCTTTAAGACACATTAATAGTCAAGTATACTCTTTTAAAGCCATATCTTTGAAAAGCATCATCAGATTTTAAATGAAATTTCCATAAATAAGCTCTCACACTCTGTTTAGAAGCACAAATACGTCAGTACCTGCCCCACCACTTAAGCAAGGGGGCCAGGGCCCTCATAATTCTTAAAATAAATTAAGTTACTTCACATTCAAAATCAAAAGCAAGCCCATTTTAAGTGTAGAGAAGAGGAAGGGAAAAGGAAAAAAAAAAATCAACCTCCTGAAAGTGCATTTCAAACCTGGATTTTTTTACTTGATAGAAAGCGATGTGATGTAGATAATCAACCAAAAAGGTAATATTTTAATGATCTGTGGCTCATCCAAGGTTCTAAGAGTAATAAAATATAACATTTATTCACTACCATTTACTTATTTGACACAAATACTTCCTTATTAATGGATTCCACATTAAACATGTTACAAAGTTCTAGTATGTATTTAACCCCAAAACATTCCCTTGTTAAATAACCGGTGTGTGTTACACAGTTTCATTCCCCTCTTGTATTAGCTGGGTGATTTAATATGTCACCAGTTCACAAACTGCAAAGTAAACAGGAATGTTTAATTAAAAGTTTGATAGAAGGAATATATAGAGACAGCTACAAAACCCTGACTGTTGTTAAGAATTCTGTTAAGTTCTAGGATTAATTAATTAAAGGGGAATAAAAAAAAAATGGGGTGATTGCTTGTCAGTCATCCCATTTTTCCCAGGGAAGGGGAGGAGAGGAAGGCAACAACAAAAAGTACCAATAGTGTAAGTTGCTGACTTAGAGTTGCATATGCAGCCTAAGGAAGGGAAACTTTCTCTTTTCTTCAGAAAGTCCCACAAAGCAGATTTTAGAAATAAAAACAAGCCTCTGGTGGACGTTGATATTGATCTGCAAACACTGCAGCTCAAAGGGAAGACAACCCCAACCTCTGTGTCTCTAACCAAGAGCACCTGGGGATGCTGAAAGAGTCAGGACTTTTCAAACCTTTCAGGCACTTTTCAAAGCTTTCCCCTCTCCAACACAGCAGCAGCTGAGCTCTGGATGAATGATAAACCTTATGGAACAACACTGAATTTCATACAGTGCTGCTGCAGGCAGGGGAATGTACACTACCTATAAAGGTAATTTAAAAATTTGAATTTTTCAGTCATTTTCCTGCAACAAAAAAGGAGAGAGTTACAAATTCCTACACCCTGAGTGCATCAGTCCCTCCAGTCGATGCTTTTCGAAAGGGCAGGTTCCAGAAAAAAAAAAATAAACCATGTGTTATTAATTTTGGTGTCAGAAGACCCCCAATAGTTCTTGATCTGTAACTTTAGCTTTATAGTGCAAGTTAAACCCCAGGGTGAGAAAACTGTGCCCACAACACTCCTCAAACAGTTCTCTCAATTCTCCAGGCCCTGCTGGCCAATCCCTTGGCTTTCAGGGTGAGGGGGGGACTTTTTAAGTGCACCTAAGCAGAACTTCTGCTTGTTGGGGAGTATATCCTGTTACAGCTGTACTGCTGACTTGGAGAAAATTCCAGCTGCACTTGAATTTGGATCACAATCTTAAGGGGGAAAAAAAAAATATTGCAAGTTTTGTTATTTGTATATTACTAAATATTATTACACAATTTTCACAATCAAATCCTCAAAAAATTCAGAAGACTCTGAATCTTCCCTAGATGCCAATTAAGAAACACTTACCAAAAAACCCCAACAATTTATTGTTGTGGGCTTATTAATTTTCTTTTTAAGGAAGAATATAAATCACACATAGAGCTGCAGAATCTAACAAATATTTTAGATCCACTGATCTCCGTTGTTATCTTCCCTTATTCTCCCCTCCCACCTCCAAATCCACAGCACTTACATCATAACAGAGGAATATACTTAAATTTATTTAAAAAGAAGAAAACATAAGATTCAGTTTCTAAACGAACAAACTCCCTGCAAGATTATTCTGAATACAATTAAAAATTATTCAATAAACCATGAAAGAACTACAGCCAAAAGCTGATGTTGCATGTAAAATAACTCACTATGTCACACAAGCACAATTAAAATTCCTTTCACAAAGTCATGTTCTTCTAATTTTAATTTCCAACTGATTTACATAAACTTGAGCCTTTTAAAAGCAATATAATATATATGAAATCCACAACCTTTTTACTTTGCTGCAAACTAATTACAGCTGCCAGAAAGAATCAACACAGCAACAGGGAATAAGTTTAAACAGGATTAATAAAACTAAGAGATGAACACATCACTGAGAATTAAATCAAAGGGAGAAAAAAGGCAGAAAAAGAAAGGGAGAGTTGGGTTCAACCCAAAGCTACTTGCTGGAATAAAAGCACATGCATAGCTTTAAAAAGTGGTAATAAAACCAGAGTGTTAACACCTGCTTCCTTTTACAAATGTGGGGAGATATTCAGATGCTAAATTGGAATGGGTTTCACCTGGAAGCTCAGGGACCTTCTCAAAGGGAAGGTTTGTGATGTCACACAAGGACATGGTGGCCTTCTCAGGAAAACACAAACCACAGCTCTCGGGTCTTCAGTGCAAAAACATCACAGAAAAGCTTTCATTCATCATTTTCCCTCTGGCAATATTAAGAGTTTGCTCTTATTTGCAATTCACTGTCAAGGAAAATTGAGTATTTGCCCTTTTTCTTGGGGAGCAGAGGGGTGAGGAATGGATATGGGATTTGGGCCTTTCTTCTTTTTGGTTGTTTGTTTGTTTGTTGTTTTTTGGTTTGGGTTTTTTTTTTTTTTTTAAATCCAGTCTCTGAATGGGATTAATACAAACCAAGGATTTCTTTGCTTTATTTTTCATAAGTGTGCCAGGCTCATAATAACAATAAAAAATTACAACGACAAGTAATATAAGCTACAGATCCTTTCAGTAAGGGTTGCTAACAACCCCCTCCCAAGGGGAAAAAAAAAAAGACAAAAAGCAAACAACAAAAGGAAACTATTTAGGAAAGTAGATTGAAATTGAGCCAGAAGATTAAGAAATTTCTCAAACTTTCTGTAACAATCAGGAAAATTGGACAAAAAGTAGCATCCTTATATGAAAAGATGGTGCCAAACCACCCTTGAGCTGGGGCTCAGTCAGCAGAGGAATCAGACTTATCCTGGGACTGGATATTTAACATTTTCAACAACTGCTTACAAAAAGACAGGAATGCTAAAAACCCCAGTTTCAGAGATATAAACAGAGCTGGATGTGAAGAAAGAGCCTACAAAACATTGCACTTGAGGAAAGAGGGGATCTGAAGGCTAAATGCATGTCTGAAGTGCAGTTTTCATTACAAGAACGGGACTAAGCAAAGAGAAATAATTGCTGATTCTTTAAATCAGCGTTACCAGAGACCTGAAATGCAAGTTGATTGCCAAGGCTGCCATCAACCAAAATGACAAAAGAACTTGTTCAGGAGCATGATAAAAATGGATGGCTGTTTGAGGGAAGCTACAGAAGGTTAAAAATAACCACCAAGGCTATTGATTTTTAAGCATTGTCTCACTCAAAAAAAAAAAAAAAAAAAAAAAAGAAAACTCGGTTAGAGAGACCTAAAAGTTTGCAACTGGCTGCTGATACCAACTGCTGATGTTTCCCAGACTGCTCCCTCAGTTTTCTGGATTAGTTCAAGTGGATTCCTGGGAGGCAATTAAAAAAAAAAAAAAACAACAAGCCTGGAAAGAAAAAAACCACTGTAGGTATTTCAGTGATTTTTTGCACCTTTTCAAACAGTGGATCTTTTGTGTGCAGCGAAATTCTTTTCTTCCAAGACAAATATTTAGTTAAGCACAAAGCAAAGAGAGTGTCCAGCTACTTTCACAGAGGGAACAGACAGATATTATTTTTCTACAAGTTTGTCATTGTAAAATGCTGGTGAAAAGTTAAATACAGCGCTTGTTTCAGGAGGTCTAAACAGCAATAAACTGTTCACTCTTGCTCTTTCTGGAAACTACTGTACATTTTTTATGATCTTTTATGGAAATGTTTTCTAACTTGTGTAGCTGCCACATTTCAGCTACACTTCAGCAGTGCCTCTTAAGGACAAAGAGTAAAAAGACTTGAAGATCAAAAATCACCTTAATTAACTAGGTGTGTTGTTGTATCAGTGTTTTACACCACACAGTTCAATCACTAAGTTCTCTAGAGAAGAGGCAGGAACGAAAAAATCCTTAATTTCAAATTTTTACATGGCAAACATTAAGAAGAACTGCTGGAGATGCCCACTATTCTACCCAGACTATCCATTGATTACTTCATTGGGATCAAAACATTCCCTTCTTGGGATGAAAAGGCCAAGAAAAAAAAAATGTTTTGACTGCATTTGGTTCACCTCAAATCTTTGCCTCCAGACCTCCACAGCTCCACACCTGCATCCATCACTTAAATACCAAGAAAGAGATTCTCACATTTTATATAAAATACAGAAGAGATGTAGGTGGCAAAATGTCCTGAAACATTCACATATCTACCTTGATAAATCATCCTGAAGCTGGGGTAGACCTGGATCATCTTCCAGGTGACTCCTCTTACCCAGAAACAGGTATTTTTGCTGCTGAGCAAGAGTTAAAACATTTGCAGGTAAGAAGACAAACCATTACTAAGATTCCTTTAATCCAATTAATCTACACGTTTTGTCCCAGAAGTAGAAGTAAATGCTATTTAAAGTCCTGGGAACAGGACACGATGACTGTCACTTCGGACCTGAGATAAAGGGCCATACACAGCACGCCATGAAGGCCCAGAAGAAATGCAAAGAATGGGACAAACATTAAAACAGGTTCTTTTCATGGATATTTTCACAGCTTTCAAAAATGAGCAGTCCAGGAACCTGATTAATCCAAGAGCAGCCTTGGATAAATTTCTCCAGTAGGCAGGGATACACCTATTTTCCATGATTTACCTCGTTCAGAAGCTATTTAAACCTTACCACTTCACAATCTGCTGAGGTTTTCCCTAATTCTTCTCATTTTTCCACCAACTGTTTTCAGATAGGAAGACATACATCCCTAAAGCAGCAGATGACCAGGTATTTACACTGCAGCTTCATAAAGTTCTGCGTTCCCACAGGGGAAAACCTGAGAAATCAATTCTTCCACAGCACTCTTTAAGGGCAAGTATTATGAAGAAACCTGTAATTAGAAAACTGCTTGTTGTGTTTGTCCCCAGGACACCAATTCAATTCAATAAAAACACTCTGGCATAAATATTTTAAAGGGCCAGCAACTTTGTGCAACATCACTCCAAAGCTCAGAGACAACCAGATCAGATTTGAAGCTGAATTCCTGCAGGGAGTGGCCCAAGGGTTTTGAGAGGGGTGAGAAGATTTCCAGGTAAGTTTAATTTATACCAGACAAATTAAAAAAAATGAGATAATGTAGGGAAACACCTATGGCAAATAACAAGGAGAAAGGGGATAAAAATCCATTACACTGTTAGCAGTGAGCAGAAATCCATCTCCTCCTTATCCAACAGCAATTTCTGTGGCAGACTTTACACCTTAAGGTGATGGAAACCTGACTGTCCTTAATGCATCTTTACAGGCTGAAATACTTTTCATCATAGCAGAAGAATCAAGTCCCTAATCAGACCAGGTAATGCTTGGTACAAATCTAGTAAACAGCTCCATCTACCTTGGCACGTGTCCAGTTTTTACATTGTTATAATTAAACCCATTTATGTCAGTAATTATAAAAAGGGCAGAGAGTACTACTTATCGTTATGAGAACTATTATTTTACAAAACAAAGTGAAATGGATTTTATGACTACTTATTGTTATGAGAACTATTATTTTACAAAACAAAGTGAAATGGATTTTATGCCTTTCCAGAGTAGCATTACAGACATCTCACAAAAAAAAACCCCAAAACAAAACACCAAAACAAACCTCTCCTTACACTGCCTTGAACTAAAGCCAAAAATTATTATGGGTTTTACTCTTCTACCTGGAAAACAGCCACGGTTTGGGAGGTATCACTCTCAAGAACAGAAAAGCCTGATTAAAGAGCTGACCAATATTAAAGCTCTACATCTGCAGGAGATAGAAAATAGATAGAAATGACAGCTCTGAGGTTGCAATTTCATTAATTCTGCTTATGAAGAAATGGAGAACTGCTGCTTCTTTGGAATCCCAGGAGTACTTTTAATTATTTTTTAATTTACTAGATTAGGATTAGCCTCCTGTAAACACCATTTGAAGAGTTCCAGTTGAGCACTGTGCTTAGCAATGGAATGGGAATCAAAGTGAGATTAAGCAAGACCACAAAAAAATTAAGGAGAAACATAGAAAAAGTACCAAACAACTTCAAGGCAGAAGACGATTTTGTCATCAAAAAACCACTTCCATACCATCCCCTTGTTTCCAGTGGAAATCTCAGCCCCCAACCTCTTTCCAAACCATGTTTAATCCCTCCCTCTTCAGCTCAGTGACCCCTGGGCCAAAGCCTGCAACAGAATCTTGCTAAAAAATTCAATGCTTTCCCTCCCCAATGGAAATTGGAGTATTTTAATATTTAGAATCACTCTCAGAGACCCCATTTCCCACCATTTAACTGTGCATTTTAACAAGATGCTTTCAGAAAGGTGCATGCAGTGAAACTGTACCTCATTTTCCCCACAGTCAGAAGGTGTGTCCTTGTGTACAGACATCTGATACTTGGCAAATAAAGTGGCAGATTGGTTGAAGGATGATTTGAACTGGGGGTCCTCAAAGGAGACAGGTACTAACCTCACCTTCAGAGCAAGGGAAATACAACAAGCATTCTATTTTGAGTGCATATCACCAGATAATCTGCTTCTGAAGGTAAGGCTAGTGAAAGATCTCCTCCTATCCACTTCAAAGCCTCTGAAGTCAGTTTTCTATTTTAAGACCTCCCACAGGAGAAAGTCTGACAACTATCACCACACTTAAACTGCCTGCTGATGCTTTCATTAAAGAATAAAAGCTGTGTAACACTAGAACACTCCAAAGCAGGGAGTCTATTTTTATTGACCAAGTATCTAACAAATCAACCACAAATTTTAGTTTCATTGTACAGTCTCAAGGACTTTTAAAATGTATTATTATTTTTAATGGCACATCACTCATTTGTCTCATTCAGCAGCTAGATATTCTTGCTACATACACTAATTTTCTTTTTTTACTTTTTTTTCTTTATACTCTCAGAGAGGTAATGTGTCTGACAGTTCACCCTTACACTCCACAAGAAGCACTAACCATGTGTAATTTAGGTGGAGTGCCCAGATCACTTTTGGAAAGGCTCAGATTGAAAGTTTAACAGAATTGCTCAACTCCTGGGAACCTGAAACCAACAATTTGTGTGACAAACTTTCCCTCACACATTGGCCCTGGTCGTGTTAGCTCCTCCTCGTGGAAGCATTCAAACCAAAGCCAACGAGCCCAGTTACCAGGCTGAGTGCCCAGCTGGATTTAGTTCTTAGGAGATTTGTATTTACAAGGCCCAAAATATCTCTCTCCAAGAGCCTCCTCCTCTCCATCTCTTACCCAACAGCATCCCTGTGTACCATCCACAACTTTGCAGTCTGCAGCTAAGACCAAATATTTGTGGCTCTCACAAAGAGGGATAAAGAGGGTTTGCACTTTCAGGATGTTGATTTCCTTCGATACAGTATTTTAAACGCACAGTGGATATAAAATCCACATTTGTTTCTCTGAGAACCAAGGCACGTGAAATGGAGGGGAAGCTTTGCACAGAATCAATTTGGCCTTCTGACCTGATTTATGGTTGGTTTATCAGGTGGGTCCTTGTGAATAACCATCTGGTAACGTTTATAGACCTGGTAAGACTCCTGTAATGTGGCTTTGAACTGTGAACTTGGTGGAGATGATCTCACCACCCTCACCTTCAGAAGAAGTTAAACACATTTATTATTACAATATACACAGTGATTAATATTAATAATAATACAAACCTCACAACAGAAACACTTTTTAACCTCCTGCACAGGGGCTATCACAATTTAAATAATATTAGCCAACAGCCCTCTAATTTTTCAGCTCATTTTAGGCTACTGAAGGCTTTTATACTTACACTGAATAGCATACAAAGTTGTCAAACTGCAAATTAAGATAATTAAAATGCCTCTAGAAGAAATACACAAACGCTTTTCACGAAATAATACCAACTCAAGGTACTGCAGATCATCATTTTAAAGAGATTTCCTGCACTACTTAGAATATCCACCTGTAGTTTCATACTACACTGAGACATACTTGAAGGACTTGGAAGACTCAACTCTGAACTCTGTTTTTATGGCAATAATCCCAAGGGGATTTCTGGATATTTTTGGAAACTGAAAGAGGAAGATGAAGCAGTTTTTCCATACTCAACTATGAGTTAACTGCAATGAGGAGTTATCAGTCTTCCCATCACTGCCATTAAACAAAGAAAAATAATTGAAAAAAAAAATCTTTATAAATTAAAAATTCTCCTCAGTAAAAACAATTTCTCCCTAAGCAGAAGAATGCTATGACATGAGCAGCAGCAGGGCATGTCTTCTCAAATATACTTAAAGTCAAGCCAAGTAATTTTCAGAATGGTCCTATTTTCACAAATAATTAGTTGGTTCTGATCTATTAAAAAACACCATGCTTGACAGCCACACTAAGGAGCACAGACAAGCTGGGAAAACACTGCTGGATTTTCCCTGCATCTTATAAATTAAGATGTTCAGAGAAAGCCATCGTGCTTCTGCTATTCAACCCACGAGAAAATGGGGAAGAGTTAATGAGGTGGATTAATTTCATGGCTTCCAGTCAGTAAATATTTTCATTTCCAAGTACCACCACTGAAAACCATCAGGAAAACGCTCAGTGTTCGGATAAGTTTTCCAGCTTGGAGAAAAAAAAAAAAAAAAAAACAAAAAGAAAAATGGCTTTATATGATTACCAAACGTTAGAAGGTCCAAAAGTCTTGCAGATCACTGTCTCTAACAGATGTAGTGGCAAGCAGTATTTTAAGCAAACTTTTCTACCATCACTTTTACAGCTTTCAAAGACATCACCGTGCCCCAAAGATGTGCAGAAAGAGCAGCTCTCTTGTTATCTGCTTCATTTGATGAAGTTACTGCTCTCTTCTCAGCTCTCATTAGCACAGATAGATACTTTAAGTATTTATACGCTCCAGAACTAAATATTGAATTTCTCTCATCATTCAACACTTGGTTAATTCAAAGCCTTTCATTTTCAAGTCACGCCACATGAAATCAATTTGCAAGTTATTTCGGTCACCGTTGCACTGGTTTGTGCTAGAAATGACTGCACAGTGCAAGAGTTCCCTCCTGTGGTTACACAGAGCTCAGCTGCACTTTATATCCATATATATATATCTATATCTGTCTCATGCAGTACCACATGTATTTCCAGATTTAAAAACTACAGCTACTCCATAAGATCACAAATAAGCATTTCAAAAACCCCTTAACCAGACTTTTCCTCCATTTGCCTCCCACACCAGCAAACAAGACGTTACCTCCAATTTGTGCCGTGCATCCTCGGGTAAAGACACAAGAACAAAGTCTTCAACACTTTTAGGTTGGTTTGCTCTAGGTTTGGAGTTCTGCAAGAGGAAAGCTTGATCTCCTCCTGGAAGCTGAGAGCCTTCTAAGGGGCACTTCTGGTTCTGGAGGAGCTTCTGTAGCTTCCTCTCTTTCCGAATGTCCTTTGCTTTTCGGCACAGGGGCTTGCTCAGGTCAGCCCCTTTCCCTGCAAGGGTACAGACAAAGAGTTAAACACCCCCTTTAACAACAAACGAGCCGTTCTTTATGCAATCACCGAAAAGAAATGGCTACAATCACCACTAATTGCACCTGTGGTCTGAACTCAGCATGGCCTTTTGCACTTACAACTACCAACACCTGATGCCAAGCTAATGATTGTTTTAGAGCTCTTTAATGCAGCACTTTAGTCTGGGATCACATTCAGGTGAGTCCACCCCAAAGCCACACATAAATTTACAAACTTAAAACACCATAAAGGACAAAAACACAACCACAAAACCTCCCAACCAAACTCAGAGAATTCTACCACATTTGAAGCCCACGTGGCTACAGGACAAACTCCTGCAGAAGACACACACACCCCCCAAAAAAAAAAAAGGATTTCTTTTTTATCACCTGGAAATCTGTGGGCACTGTGCAGAAAAGCTGCCAATGCCACCAGTGCCACTGACATCAGTGCTACTTGTGCCCTGTAATAGAAAAGGCCACAGAACTTTACATCTACGCTTAAAATTATATTCAGATTGTCTGTTTTATACTAATCAATTCACTTTTGTCAGTCTGTCTTTAAAAGATCAACCACTTCTCACATTCTATTTGTGAAGTGGTATTTACTAAAAAGAGAAGTCAGACCACTGTACTATTTCCCATCCTGACCCGTTTGCTCTCTAGTACAAGAAGTTCAGTTTTAAAGCAACACAGAGACAAGCACAAATAAAAATTCCAGTGGTCCAAATTCCTCAGTGAAGGGGTCCCATCAGATTTATAATTAGGACATTAATGTAAGATAAGAAGTCATGATAGAAGAATGGCAGTACTAGAAAAAATAATACATAAGTTTCTTCAATTAAAAAAAGGCTGGTCCCCATGCTACCCTCTATAGGCACTTAAAGGATGGCAGATGAGCTGGAAGCCAAAAAAAGACCCATATTAAAGACTTCAAAAAGAGAGGAAGAGTGGGAAAAACTGCTTTCATATAGGGAAATACAGTCACACATCTTGCACAGAACAGAATGGTAACCAATATTATTACAAGCTGCTGAGGAATCCTTTATACCATTATATTTCTCCCCAAATCCATGTATTTGCAAAAGACACAGATGTATTTCCTGTTCTTCTCTAGCCACTTCAGACCTTGCTATGGGCAGTGAGAACAGTGGGATCCCTCTGCAAACTGGAAATGGTGAGAGCACTGATATTTTGAAAGCTCACTGGTGTGTTCAGAGTCACTTCACCTGGAAATACTTGCAGCCCTGAAGCATCTTTCTTTACCAACAGAAACCATCATGGAAATTGGCAAAATAATTAATATTGAGATAATTTTAAGTACCAGCGATGCTGTAAAGTACTCTTTTTAATATGCCTACCATACAGGATTTACAGACTTTCTAAGTGTTCTCCTGGGGCAAGTTATTGGGAAGCTCTTTGTGGCTCATCCAGAAGAGTTCCTTGCCTGGTTTCTCCACATGTTCCCAGCACCTCAGGGCCTTGGAAAAGGAGCTGCAATCCCTTTGGCACTGCTCAGACATCCTCCAGTGGCACTGGCAGATTTTATGCTGGAGGTTTGTTTGCTCCCCACAATGATTCACCAGAAAAGGACAAACCCGAGGGAATTAGGGATACTCTGTGACCTGTCCTCAGGCAAACAAGCCAGAGGAAGAGTTTATTTAAAACAGCCATGATGAGTGTGAAGAGCGAGCACTTCATCTGCACGGGATCTGGTTCGTGTCTCCCATCTCCTGTAAGCTGTTAAGTCAGCAGGACAAACTTCTTCAAACAATAAATGTGCACACACAGATGTAAGCAAACCTTCTTTTCTATCTGAAACTGTGCAGAAACAGACCATCACTCCTACAGGACAATGACCTGTTTTGTTTATAAAGGAATAAAAAAGCAATTAAGCAATCTTATTGCGGGCTAAGCCTGCATTTTCCAAGCTAGAAACTAAACATCTTTCTATCTGGAAAATTTTAAACTGGATTTGACCTCTAACACCATCTAGTCTAAAAAAAATTAAATAAGCTTTCTGATGCATTTATTATTCACTTTATATTTCCTTTAAAGCCTCCAGAAAGAACCACACTAATGAATATTTCTCCCCTGTAAAAGCAAGCCCCTTTTTTTTTTTTCTGCAACACATTACAACATTACAAGATTTCTTATCTGCATTTCCAGGGTTTAAAGTCTGACCCAGGGTTATTCTAAGCCTCACTGAAGACCTCAGCTCACCTTTTTCGTAGCACTGGCAGGTTTACATTGCTATTCTCTACCCAAGTCTGCCACCTGCTGTCAGTGGCCGCTTGGTTTGCTTCCAAAAAGAAGTTTAGATAGGCCTGAGTTTTTAATTTATTACTTAAAAAATTAGAGGTGAGGATAAGAAGATAAATATAACTGTTTATTCTAACAAATAAATAAATAAGATAAATGACAATAAAAGAAGCTTGACTGAGGAATAACTTCAATACTGAAGAGAGTGACCATACTATTAAAATTAGTATTATATTAAAAGTTACTAGTGTTACATTAAAATGCCTCCAAGATTCCATGTACTTTCCCATAAAACTGTAGATAGCAATAAGCATTTGTTTACTTCAGTTTTTGGCCCATGATTGCTGCAGCACTGTGTAAATGCAGCAGAAGTAAAATGAGAGAGACTGCTTTACTTCTTGCATGTACTTACTGCATCTCCTTGCAGAAAGGGAAAATTAAGTTCAGAGCAAGACAAAAAGGAGAAATTCCTACCTAATTTCCAATCCTCTAGTGATACCTCATCTCTAACCAAAAGTTACTCAAAATCTGAAACAAGGAAAGCTCCCAAAGAGATGAAGAAGCTCACCTAGAAAATGCTATTCTTTATAGAGGACCAGAAGAATCTGTACTATTTTTCTTTCTTTAACCAGCAGAGAGCTACCTGATTTTCTTTAAGCCTACAAGATAACAACACAACACACCAAACTTACTTCCTAGATCTACTAGATCATCCTAGATGCTGCTTAGATCTGTATTTTTAAAAAATACATAACGAAAATCAACGTCACTTCCAGGAAATACTGAGAAGACAAGAAACACCCAGCACCTCTCAATTTATACACTGTAGTTCCACAAACTGGGAGGGGTACAGTGAATAAAGCAAAACAATTAGTGATTTATTAGGCAAGATAAAAAGAAGGACTTCAGCCAGAGGTGAAATCATGGCAGCATCTCCCAGTGACCCCCAGAAATGTGATTACCTGGCTTGGGTGGAGCATGAACAACTTTAGCCGAGTGCGATGGTTCCCCAGGGCCTGGTGCGTCCTTGTCTGAGCAGATCTGGAGAGGATCCGATCCCACCTGCTGCACCTTCACCTCTTGTTTTGCTTCCCCTGAGTCCTCCTCTTCGTTCTGCACCCTCTCAGAGTGATCCACAGCCAAGGGAGTCAGCTCAGACTGACTGACGTGAGACTCGCTCTTGTACGGGAAGTCACTCGCGGCCGCATCCTCTGTGTGCGAATCCATCGGCTCCTCTGCAGACAACGAGAACGTGCAGGAGTGAATTCCCCTCTGTGTGACCACAGCTCACCCTCTGCACAGCTACAATTAACACTAAAGTAACTAAATTTCCAATTTGACAAGTGTTTTCCAACAGATAAAGTGTTTGCAACAGTCTGAAAACAAAGTTTCCTTTATGACCCCGAATTGTGAACACCGACTCATCTTGGGGAACAGTTTTATTCTCTCCACTAAAATGGGGCAGTCAACTAATCTCAGGCCATAACTGCAATCAAACAACAAAAAAGGTCCAAAAAACCCTAGTATACCAAACACACACACACAAAAAGGCAATTGTAATGGTTCAGAACCAGCACAAGTTCCACCATAACAAAGAATAGCCCAGTTTGGTGCTGGATAAATGAGGTGTGACTGTTCAGTCACCTGGAAAAAACCTCTTTGTTTGCTCTTCCTTTTCTCTGCCACCAACCATCCTGCTTAATCCTCTCCAGATTACCGGTTTTAGGGCAGAAGTAAAAGCAGGGTCTAATCCTCTACAGCTCCCAGCTAGAAAGTAGGAATGTGCCCAGGAAAATAAACTGGTCTATGGAAAAGGTAAGGAAACATCTTCACAACTTGGTGTCTGGGCTACTGAAGTGCTCCTGACTCAAAACACACTGAAAAGACACAGCCCATCCAGGGGTCTGTACACAGAAGGTCTTTAATCCTCCTCCCAAACATCAGCTCTGGTTTTCAAACACTACGAGGGTTTCTTACCTTCAGTCGCTACTTTAGAAACATCTCCTTTGGAAAGAAACTTCAACATTTTCTTCAGAACCTTCTTGTGAGATTTGGAGGCCTGAAAATGCAAAGCCTGGCACCTAAAAAAAAAAAGAAAAATCATGAACATTTCTTTTGTGAAAGCTTAAAAAAAAAATTGTTAAGGAGCTTCTAAAAAAATTACACTGCATATGTAGTTTTTATTTATTTCTGAAGTTCCCCTACATTAAGTGATCAAATCAAAAAATCACTAAAATGTGAGTGAAAGCCCCTCTTATTTGGGCTACTAAGGCAGTGTTTGTGGGTTACAAACAAGGTTCCTTACAGGAAAATATCCCAGAGATGCTGATGTCCCTATGCACAAACCCAACAGTGCATATTTACTATTGCAAGCATCACTAGAAGTAGATAAACTTTTCAAGTATGATGTATTTCAAGCCATAAACACAAATGGTGGAACACACTTGAAGTTGTCTGTATTTTGAGCTTCTTACCTTATGGTGTACTGAGGGCAACACGTTTGATTCATGATAGGTTTGTAGACATATTTTCCACTTCTGAAAATAGTAATAAATATGTATTGATTTTTTGTTGTTTATATTAAAAAAAATAAATGGAAGAAGAACCTTTTTTATTAAAATCATATCAAAGTATTACATGATGAGTAACAAAAGTCAAGAAGCAAGTTCTTCAGCTCTTTGCTGCTATACTACGTTGTTATCCTTCCAAAATCATTAAATCTTCTCCTGTCTGACAATGTCACATTACAAAGAGTCCCAGAGCACTGGACAAATAGTTTTATTTCAATTTTAATGTAAACCAGCTAACTCTTTTCAGAGATCTAAATTTTAAATTCAAAGCTGTACCTAAACTGACAACATGGCTTTGTATTTTCTCTCTCAATTTACCTTCGCCATCCTCTGTCTATGAGATCCTGGTAATCTTGAACTGTCATCGAATGTGCCCACATACCTGAAATAAATAAAACAGCAGCGCTTGACTGACACCAGCTGGGCTTTAAAATGCAAGTTCTGCAGAACTGGCTGGAGCAGCTCTGCTGTTGAGACAGGCTGGGAGAGCTGGGGCTGGAGAGAAGGCACCAGGGACACCTGAGAGCTCCTTCCAGGGACTAAAAGGGCTCCAGGAGAGCTGGAGAGGAACTTTGGATAAGGGCATGGAGTGACAGGATAAGGGGGAATGGCTTCCCACTGCCAGAGGGCAGGGTTAGATGGGATATTGGGAAGGAATTCTTGGCTGTGAGGGTGGGGAGACCCTGGCACAGGTTGCCCAGAGAAGCTGTGGCTGCCCCTGGATCCCTGGAAGTGTCCAAGGCCAGGTTGGACGGGGTTTGGAGCTACCTGGGATAGTGGAAGGTGTCCCTGCCCATGGCAGGGGGTGGGACCGGCTGACCTTTAAATTCCCTTCCAACTCAAACCATCCTGTGATTCTGTGATTACTGCAAATCTGAGTATATACAGACGTCTATCGAGGATTTGGCATATTCGTCAATATCACGATTACTGATTTCAGCAGCCACATCACGTGCAAAAACCCCAAACCCATCACAAATCTTGGGATGCAAATCAGCTACATTTCTCCGACCGTACAAGCGCAAAGTTCACCTCTCCCCCTCCTTCCTTCGCCCGAAACAACCCAGGAAAACAACATAAAATCGCTGCTCATTCTGCGAAGGCCATTTGGAAGCAGCGGGCGGCCAGAGCAGCTGTTTGCTCCGGGCGGGCAGCGGTGCCGCCGCCTTTCCCCGCCGCTCTCCCCCGGCCCCTTCCCCGCCGCCAGCGCCCGGCCCGCCCGCGGCTCCCCCGCAGCGCCGCCCGCACCGTGCGACAGGTTGCCGGTGTCGCTCCTGCAGTATCCGCAGCGGTAGCCATCCTCCCCGCCGAAGAACTCCACGATGCTCGGGGAGCCGCCGCCCGCCGCCATCCCCGCCCGCCTCAGGGCAGCGCCCCGGGCCGCCCGGAAACGCCGCCCGCCGCCATCTTGGCTGCGGGCAGCGCGCGGGCGGCGCGCGCAGGAAGCGGCGGCGCCGCCATGTTCCCCCCGGGCGGGGGCGGCGGGGCCCGCTCAGCGCTGAGGGGACAGCCGGGACACCCCCCGGGACCCTCCCCGAGCCCCGGCCCCGCTCACCCGCCGACACCTTCCCCCGCTCCGAGCCGCAGTAGCCGCAGCCGCGCCCCTCCTTCCAGCCCCTGTACTCCACCACGGCGGCGGGCATGGCGCCGGCGGCCGCGCAGCGCCCCCGCCCGGGCCGGGCCCGCGCCGCCCCTCAGGGCCGGGTTGGCAGCACAGCAGCGCGCTCGGCTCGGCCGCGATGCTCCAACCCCGCTTCCCTCGCGGCCCGACCGCTTTCTCACCCCCGCAGGCACGCTCTCGACAACTTTGCCAGATCGCTCCCTACCCGGCTGCTACAGCGGGATAAAAGGATGGAAGAAATAATCGCATCACCCTTTGCTGTAAGCCTCAGTTTAGACAACACAACTCCGGTCAGGTTTTGTCTTTTCCGAAATTTTAATTTTAGAAAGTTAATTTTAATTCATTAAAATTCTAAAATCCAAACTGTGGTTTGAAGTGCAAGTCTAGGGGCTCAAAAAGAACGTAAAACCTTGCCCACCAATCTACTTCTCACTTTTCTGCAGCTCCAGAAGCAGTGCTCCCCCACAGAGCATTTTCCCAAAAGGGAGCTAGACTTTATTCATTTTTAACAAAATAATATTGTGGTCCAATAGAGCTGGCCTGCCTAAGTTACCAAACAAACACAGGTGGAGTTTGGAAAAACATAGAGGGGAATTGCTATCTGTAATTGGGACCAAATTTCCAAACTCAAACCTTTATTTCCAGAACAGCAAGAACACTTACCAGTTTCTCCTGCAACACCCAAAATCATGTGGATAGCAAGATTATCCCAGCAGGGATGGATAACTGTGTAAATTATAGGTGTTGCTGCTGCTGGGGAGAGACAAGGGAGGAAGGAAGGGCACAGTGTTTCCTTGTTATATAACCTGGTGAGTGTCAGTGTATACATAGAGTAGTTAACTAAGCCAGAATAGAGACTACATAGTAATAACCCTGTAACAAGTCTAAACTTCTTCTCAGGTTGCCCAGAGAAGCTGTGGCTGCCCCATCCCTGGAAGTGTCCAAGGCCAGGCTGGACGGGGCTTGGAGCAACCTGGGCTAATTGAAGGTGTCCCTGCCCATGGCAGGGGGTGCAATGAGATGAGCTTTAAGGTCCCCTCCCACCCAAACCATTCCATGATTCTGAACAAAGCAGCTTACGCAGTGTTGAGATGTCCCAATAAGAATAAAATTTATTTTACAATATATACATATAAAACAATTTTCTGAGGAAAACATTCTGAAGTATTTTCTTTAAGGCACCTAGGGGGAGAGAAAAAGAAAACAACAGACAATATGCAGTAAAATTTGGAACCTGCAAAACGACTGTGACAGTAAAAGAATTCAGTCCTATCACTGAAAGAATTTTAGGGAAGTAGGAAGGGAAGACAGTCTGGTTCCCTCTAAGTCCTTCTTCACACTACTTGCATTAACAACATCAGCTGTCACTAAGTTAAAAAAAACAAACAGAAAAACTAAGCTATGATTCTTCCCCAAGTATGAAGTTCCAAAAATTAACTCAAGTCTATCACTGAACTGACCATGAAATGTAAAAATAAAGGGTTTTTTCCCCAGGTAATTACAGCATACAAAACTAGATTACATTTTGTTCGTGAAGAGAGCAAGAACACAGCAATGTTCCAATATTACAGTCACCCTGATTACAGTTCTACATTTGTAAGTCCCATGTAGTTTCCCTGCAAGTTCTTCCAGGTGCATAAGGAACTCATGCACTGGATCCTTATTGGGTTTGATTTATTAAAAGAACTTACTTGAAAAATTATTTTGTCTCCATTTCCTCTTCAGTGCTCTGAAAAGGAGGGCTTATCATGGCTTCTGTTATTTCAAACGCTTCTATGATCTCCTGGTTAGAGATGACAGCAGTCAGTCAGTCACAAGAGCTGAACAATTTTAATTTAATTACCACCAGGCAAATAACGATGTTTCTGACACTATAGCACCATTTCAAATTATTATGTTTCTCCCGCATATTCCGAGGGAGGGACAAAGAAGAGCTGCATGGGCTCAAAACTACTTTTTGTCCTCTAAGGTTTACTACAAACAGCAAAATAGTGGGCAAGAATAATGGGAACACCTCCTGAGAGCATGAGCAGCCCAGCTCTTGGATGCATTCCTGCATTTAAGGTAAAAGGAACTAATGCAAAGTATCAAAAGGTCTCTGTGGTACCTTCCATTCTTCCTGGGTCAGAGACATGACAAGCTGTTTCCGTGCTCCAGGTCCCCGGTTAATCTCCCCTACCTTCCTGGATTTTGTAGGCTCTGATCAAAATAACAGTATTTTCAGTATTTACACTTGCACAGTCAATTTTCCCCCAGCAACACAAAAGCTCCACAAAAATCAAATCAATTCCTCTTGTTCCACCCAGTTAAGTCTCTGTCAATAGCCTGTACTGCTTAAGAGATTTCCTTTATCTCACCCTTCCAATATTTAGGAACTCATGTTTTTCAGAGTCCCAGAAAGACACTAGTATTTCATTCCTTATGAAATCCCACCAAAGTCTTGACCCCATTGACATCCTGTGGGAATGAAAGCCAAAGGCCTCGTGTAGCATGGAATTTCCTTTCCAACTGTTTTGAAGCTGCAGCAGTTCCTAACCCAACAGAGACAACGGAGGCTTCTTGCACACAAAAAATACTTTAGCAAAAATGTACCTTGAAAGGAAAGGTGATAATCTTTGATTTCTTTTAATAGAATTAATTTGTATAAATCAGCACAATGGTCTTTTTTCATATACTGATATTTGAAAACACTCAATTCCTTCAGCCCCTCATAAATCTCTTCATGCCTTCAGTTACGTTCCCAGCTAAAAATAATCCTGAAACTTTGTGAACATGTAACATGTAACGTTGTAGCAAAAAACAATTAGGGTCTTTTAAAGCTAGCTTTTACCTATTATTGGCAGTTTATCATCGTCCAGCCTTATTTCTGCAAGACCATCCTAAAAGACAGTGGGATTTAAAGTTCCAGAAGTTAGAGGTATCCAGTTAGGATAATGCACAGGATTTCGTGGTTTTACTTACAACACAATCATAAACAGGTACATATATTGATAAAGAATCTTCACTGGCATTACAAACAGTCAGAAATATTTAAATATAGCACTTATTAATGAAGAATGCAGCCCATATAGAACAGTGGCTAACTGGGATTATGAAAGCTTTGCTTCATTAAAATCATTATTATTCATTAAATATACTTGAGATAACCCTTCATAATCACATCACCATTCATTATAAATCTGAATTTAGTCAGAATATCTTTGTCAGTTTTGGTCTTTTAAAATTAATTTTATTTATTAGACAAACTAAATATAGTTTCAAGTACAAATCTATGCATTCAAAAAGAATATAAACCCCTGCACTAACATACTCTTCTACAACCTCAGTAACTCTTCTATACTCTGTGACTACTTTCTTACATCTCAAATGTAAGCCAGAATCTTTTCTGAAAAGCATATTGACAGCAAAATTTCACTATTGTTGGTAAATCGATTGCAGCAGAAAAATCTAAGAAAAAAATTAGCCTGTCAACTCTGTTTTCTCTTTTATTCAATTACCAAAATACCACAGGCTGTTTGTAGAAAATAAATCAGTATTCCTAATATTTGAAACCTAACTTTTCAATCTTGAAGACATAAAATCAACAAATCAGGATGTCTAGGTAATTCCAATATCTAAAGTGAGATTTCAAGAACATATCTTGCCTTACCCTGATGAGGAAGGACACGTGAAACATGTTTTCCACAGTGCGTGCAAAGGAGTTTGGATCAATCACAAAATCAAAGAAGGAAATGGGGGTATCAGCTGGAGATGCAAAAATGGCTTTGTTAAAACAAACACACAGGTGGTAGACACGGAGTTAAAAGATGTAAAAGAAATTTAAAGAGAGACAGTGCTCCTTCCAAAACCCAACAGAATGTTTGTCAATTTAGTAACAATGCTGAATTCCCTGCTGCCTGCAAAAAGGAACACATCTATAGTTAATTATTTTCTTCCATCTTTTCCCCCACGCAGATCCATAAGCAGGGATTATTTGGTTGCCTTCTAAGAAGTGGCAGGCTCTGATCAGGGGGAGAGGATTCACATTTAGCCAAACAGCCACCAACGAGTGTTCATAAAAAACCCACAGTTGGTATATGTGCTTCTATATTAAGATTTCTACTTGCAAACTTCACCTCATTTTGGCTGTGAAGTTTAACCACTCCTAACTGTAAACACCAGTGAATATTCATTTTCTCCAATTAATGCTTAATTTCCTCATACTTACGATCACTTTCAAAAAGAGTCTGCAGTATCCCCAAGATCCTCTCTACTTCTTTTTCTGTAGCTTCCTCATGAGACTCCTCCATTTTTTTTAGCTGGTAAAAAGCAACACAGATTCACCTCAAATAACCACTGTTGTATCATGGGAATATGCAAAGGGCCTTTTACGGACACAGAACATAAAAGCTGAATTTTTCTCCCTACGTGCACCATCACAAACACACTTATGCAAACATGAGACAACTTTTTAAGAGCTTTAGGGTTTAGGTCCCATCTTAAAATAACAAACTGAAAGGCTACAGCTTGTATGTTTTGAGCCCATTAAGGGCTATACTTTTCAATGGCTCTGTGGAATTGGGTTACAGTGGCACAGTCTGCGAGGTTAATGAAGAAGATCATTTATAAACAACTCAAAAACCCTCCAGCTCCTCTTCTTCCCAGTACGAAGTGCAACAGAATCCTTTCTATCACTATTTGGATTATTATTAAGTATTTTAAAAGGCAATAATCAAGCTTTTGCCTCTGCCCTGGCATTATCACAGTCTGAGCTTCCCTATTAACACCATGGTTTATGTTTTCAAAGTTTCAGATGTTAAGTCTCTAAGCACTCCCAGACTTCTGCCTTTCTGCCAGGGTACCTCAGAAAGAAGAGGGAAACAGAAGGCAGAAAAAACAGTGGTTAAGTGAGCTAATTAACTGCTGTTAACCACATTGCAGGGCAAAGGCCACTCCCTATCAGACACTTCTGAAAGAAAAACGGAAACCACGCCCATGTAAAGAAGGTTCTTTTTTGTTTCCTTTTAAAGGAACATGCATCAGAGCAGGTAAGCTCATCTGAACTTGAAAAATCCGTGTGTAAATTACATTTCTGAAGATGAAATTAGTCTGTGAACACTGCAGTCCACACAAAACAAACCAAGAGGCCTAATAATGAAGTCTGAATCCTTTAGTACTGTAGAAGCCCAGAAAGGGCTGATGTGCACATCTCAAACACAGCTGGATGGCTATGGAGCCAAACAAGGATTGCTGGTAGCAACAACCAAGGATTGTGATAAGAACACACTGTGAGAAAGAAGAGGATGTGGCTGGAAAAAGAACCGTATGGAGGTAAGGCAGCTCTTTTATGTGACAAACATCCTTGTTTTTGCTCGCAGCTGCACAACCCAGTCCAGCACAAGCACCTTGGCTGATCCCTTCCCCTTAAGGGTGGGATGTCCCAAGTGCCACACAGTTTGTAATTACAAAACCCAAACCGACATGAACAGAAAGCTTTAGAAGTCACGAGCAATAACTATGCCAGAACAAGTGGTTAATAAAGATAATGCTTCACAAACCTGAGTGGGCATTATCTGTTTTGCTTCTCCTCTTGACGCCCTTTTCTGCCTCTCAATCCGTTGCTTTGCTACAGGAGGTTCAGACTTGAAAGATCCCAACCTAACAGAAATACAAAGAACACGTACATGGAAATCTGGTTTACACTGCATGCTTAGAAATCTGTACACTGAGCAGTGGATCTCCTGAGAAAAGTGTAAAGTAATGACTGATACCTAAAGACAAAGCTTCATCACATTCAGAGATTTCTGGAAAGAACCACCCCCAAAAGCTGCTCCCAATATATTGGTGGCCTCATATCAGAACATGTAGAATATTTGATGCAATTATTCCAACTTTCTTTTTGAACTGAAGAATTCCAATCTACTTCCTTTTCATTTTGCAAATGTTCACACATCCTCCATCAAAAGAAGCTCATTATTACTGAGAATATCAAAATGCAACTAAGGAGCAAACCAAGTCTTTTGTGCAGTCAGTTTTGTCTTAAGATCACAAAACCAACTGTAAAATATACTTAAGGTTAGGAGCTTACAGCTTGAAAGTGCAAACCTAAGTTTCAGATATCTCAATTAGCTATCCAACAGTAAATATCAGATATTGTAGGATCAAATTATTACATTCAGCAACTTTCTTACAACTACAGGGATAATTATCAGAGGATGGAACAAGTGTAAAAGAACTGAATAATATTCTATCAGCTCTGGTCATTTAATTGAACTAGGCTCTGCTACTGGAGGCTGACTTTTTAAGAGATTTAAACTGAAGTGTTGTCTATAAGCCAGGTGATTAAGGGTCAGCTAAACAGGCTCCTACTAAATGTGTTGCCTACACCTAAGGAGAGGTGAGGCTGATTCTACATTCTGGCCACTGGCAGAAATCAGGTTATTTCTTCTAAAAGCAGAGCCAGAAAGCAAGACTCTAAATACAACCCATTAACACAGATGTACAAGAACAACTGTCAGTCTCATCATGTTAATACAATCATCAGGTAGAAGATACAGACCTCCCTGGACTGACATTCTGTAACTGTCTGAGAAAGAAAAAAAAAATCACACACAAAAACAAACAAACAAACAAACAAAAAACCCAACCAAACAAACAAAAAACCACAACCAAAAAGGCTCCTGTATTCCTGATTCTGGCTTATACAGGGAGAGAATGACCAGGGAAGAGTCAGCTTCCAGAGGAAAGAAGATCACTTCTGCTGGCTTTGGTCTGAACAGGTATTTCAAGAATACCTTGCTAGTGATATTATTCTGTAGCCAAATCAAAAACAAAGCAAGAAATATTATTAAGTGTTTTGGAGATGAGGAGTTCACTGCACCAGAAGAACAGAGATCACACAGAAGTCATTGCTGACACTGCTGTGACCTCAGATTAAACTCTATTCCAGCCCAGGGCATTAAAGATGAGACTCCATTAAGGCCATCACCTTGTGCTGCAGTATTATATATACAGTATTGCCTTAAAGGAACTTACATATAGTGAAAAGTAGGTGCTCTTCTGAAGTACTTCAGTGCTTCTTCTCCCACTTTCTGCCAGGCATCATGAGGTAAAAAACCACCAGGTTCACGGTCATTTTCTTCTACTTCCGTGCGATTTATACCCATGAGGGTCAGCTACCAAAGCAAAAAAGCTGCAGTGAAAATTCACTTAAACCAGGAGGACACACTCATGGTGAAACACTGTCCTGTGGTGTTTGCCTGATAGATTAATATTTAATATCACTGCATAAGGACTTTCCTGAAGATACTGTGAAAACAGATAAACACTCACACACTGGTGTTCAGCTGAAGAAAAAGAGCCACAGGTAAGTAAAACTGCTTAGATTCCACCAAATTTTCGATGATGTATCAAGTAGCAGAGCATTACTTAAACTGCACTAGAGAGCTCAGACACCTCACAGTTTCTGAACTCCACACACTCCCAGGAAGTTCAGCCCCTCGAACACCATAGAACAACTTATCTGGCCTATTCCTGCATCCACCAGTGCAGACTGACCCAGGAAAAACCTCAACAACACAACTGAACTTGATGAGTTTTTATACTGTAGAGCTCTAGACCTGACCAAAGACTCAGATTCCTTATTGATCTGCTGTAACACAAGGGAAAATTTTCAAGGAGGAAAAACCCAACGGCCTGCTCGAAAGCTGTTCTGAACCAGCTCTTCCCAACTTACCAAGTCTTCCGCAAATGTTGCTGAATCAAATGATGTCATCTCAGAGTGTAGCTCATTGGCCTTCTCCTTGCCTAGATTGGATGCCAAGACAAGGAACTGGGCATCCAGCGCAGCCTCTCGTGCACGGCAAACTGTCACAGAAAAGACTTTATGCTACTAATGGGAAATTGTCTAAAATACAACAATAAAAGTCAGTATAGGGTCTATCCTGGCATTAGAGCTTTGTAAATCATTTTATTACAACGACCTCTAACACAGCTATTTACATAATCCTTATAATAATAATTGCATTAAAAAAAAGGAGAGTAGGAGAGAGTGACACTGACAAAGAATAAATGCATTTTAATCAACGTGTTTTCCACTTCTCCAAGTGAAATGAGCCCCTCTACACGGATATCTTTTATGTGTACTACTTCTATACGTTGTCAAAATAAAGCAAGGAGTATTTCTAAGTGCAAATAAACAGAAATATTTATTTTCTCATATCAGCTTACCCAAACAATCACCTAAACATATCTATTTTAAATTATATAAAACTTCTGATGAAGTACTTGGACTTCAGCTCTCTTGTTTATAAGGCATCATCATCTCACACTTGGTCAAAGACCTTGAATAAAGAGCACACAATTTGTTTTACCTTTCTCAAACAGTTTATTGGCTTCTTCCAAAGCTTCTGTCAGTCTGTTGCTTTTTGAACTCAGCATCTCCTCACGATTTTCTGGGAGGGAAAAAACACATATGACATCCTAAATTATTGAAACACAGAAGCATTGAGAAATACTGCACTTGTTTGACCCTGACTGGAGGCCAGGTGCCCACAGAGCTCTATCACTCCCCTCCTCAACTGGACAGGGGAGAGAAAACAGAACAAAAGGCTCACGGGTCGACATAAGAGCAGAGAGAGATCCCCTCAGCAGTTACTGTAACGGGCAAAACAGGCTCAACTTGGGGAAAGGAGTGGAATTTATTACCAATCAGAATCAGAGCAGGATAATGAGAAGTAAAACTGATCTTAAAAACACCTTCCCCCTCACCCCTCCACTCCTTCCTGGGCTTCACTTTATTCCAGATTCTCTACCTCCTTCCCTCCAATGGTGCAGGTGGGAAATGGAGGTTACAGTCAGTTCAGCACATGTTGTTTCTGCCATTGGTTCATCCTTAGAGAGGATCATCCCTTCTTCCCTTACTCCAGCGTGGGGTCATTCCCACAACAGTGCTCCACCAACTCCTCCAGCGTGAGTCCATCCCATGGGAACAGTTCTTCACAAACTGCCTCAGCAGTGTGTGGGTCCCTTTCCACAGGGTGCAGTCCTTCAGAACAGGCAGCAGCTCTGTCCCTGCACAGACTCTTCTCTCCACAGGTCCCTGCCACGACCCTGCTCCAGTGTAGGGCCCTGTCAGTGCTGCAGGTGGGTCTCTGCTCCCCCGTGGCCCTCCCTGGGTTGCAGGGGCACAGCTGCCTCACCATGGGCTGCCCCACAGGCTGCAGGAGAACCTCAGCTCCGGCCTGGAGCACCTCCTGCCCCTCCTGCACTGCCCTGGGGGGCTGCACGGCTGCTTCTCTCTTCTCCAGCCACAATTACTTTTGCACAATTACCTTTTTTCCCCTCTTAAATATTCTATCCCAGAGGTGTTACTGTGGTCACTGATGGGCTCAGCCTTGGCCAGTGGCAGGTCGCTCTTGGCTCTGTGGACACGGGGGAAGTGTCTGGCAGCTTCTCAGATCCGCAGCCCCTCTGCCACCAAACCCTGGCCATACAAACCCAGTACAAACACACGCTCACAACCTAATAAAAACTGGCTAATTCGTTCCCACCACACACACAAAAATACAGAATATATAGCACATTAATTCCAGGATGATACAGGCTCCATCTTCATTAATGCTTATGCATTAACTAAGCCTGAAGAAGCAATTTTCCATTTACTTCATTGGCATAAGATTTATACGGTTGAATATCTGTTAACAGATGCCCCATCCCTGAAAGTGTCCAAGGCCAGGCTGGACGGCGCTTGGAGCAACCTAGGACCGTGGAAGGTGTTCCTGCCCATGGCAGGGGGTGGAATGAGATGAGCCTTAAGGTCCCTTCCAACCACTCCATGCTGCTGTCACTCCATACAAAGGCCTGCCGGGAGCCCAGTGCCGATCCGAGCACAAACCCCAAAGCATCAGCCGCCCAAGGCACCCGGCGTTCCCCACCGCCGCAGGAGCCTCCCGGCGCGCTCCCGGCCCGCCGCCCGCCTTACGCTGCACGCTGGAGATGAGCTCCCGGTACTGCCTGCGGATCGACCTGTTGTGCTCGTTGTCGCCGCCGTCGCCGATCTTCAGCTGCCGGACGCGCTCGTTCGCCTCCTCCTCCGTGTCCTCGGCGGGGGACGGCGAGCGCGGCAGGCCCGGCGGCCCGTCCCGGGAGGTGGAGGGCAGCGGGAGGCGGCCCCGGCCCGGGGGGGAGTCGCCGCTGCCCTGCGCCACATCGCGGACCCGGGGCCGAGGGGCCGCGGGGCCCGTGCCCGACCTGCCGGGGCCGTGCCCGGGGCGGCCCCGCCTGACGGGCATGGCCGAGGCTCGGCCCGCGGGGCCCGCACGGCGAGTCTGTAGGGCCCGGGCTGTGACCGCGACCTTCCGCCTGCAGCGCCGCTCTCGCCTGGGCTGCGCAGTGCGCTCCTGAGCAGGCTGGGCCGGGCCGCTCTGCCCCTTCCCCGGGGCCGCGGGGCTGGTCCCGCAACCGCCGCCTGCAGCGAGCGGCCCGCGAGCAGCGCCCGCCGCGATCCCCCCCGGTCCCGCCCCGGCCCCGGCACGGCAGCAGCGGCTCCGGCACGGGAGGGATCGCTCGCAGCGGGAGGCGCCGCCGCCGCCGCCGCCTCCGGAGGGCGCTGCGGGCGCGGGAGAGCCGCGGTGCGGGAGGGAGGAGGCACAGCCATCCCCGAGCGGCACCGCACGGAAACGGAGGGTTAAAGGGCCGCTGAGCGCCTGTAATTCACATGTCTGTGTGCGTTTGTGTCCATAGGAATGCCTGCGTTACTCACTGAGCAGGGAGCTGGGCTCTGGCAAATGAAACAAATGATGGTTTGGGTGGGAAGGAACACTTGAAGACCGTCTAGTTATAATCACAGAATCATCAGGGTGGGAAGAGACCGTCAGCATCGTCCAGTCCAACCAAACAGCCAGCACATCCACTGTAACCTCTAAAACACTAAACCGCATCACCTACCTCCTCTTAAACACCTCCTGGGATGGTGACTCCACCCTGGGCAACCTGTTCCAGTGCCTGACCACCCAAACAGTGGCAAATTTTTTATAGATATCGAATCTGAATCTCCCGTGTCTCAGTTGGAGGCCATTTCTTCTGGTTCTCCCTTTCAGGGAGTTGTAGAGAGCAATGAGGTTCCCTTAAAGTCTCTTTTTTTTTGTTTTTTTGAGACTAAACAAAGCCAGCTCCCTCAGTTGTTCCTCATAGGACAAATTTTCTAGACCTTTTCACTCTTCTAGACCTTTCATCATGTTCCTGTGACATGGCATCCTGCTGACCATTATTTTCTCAGGAAAACGTGAACAAACTGTTCACTAAGGTGATTTTCAAACAGTGTAACAGCTGGTAGTCAGAAGCAGCATCATGCAACCAGAATGTTCTGTCTCCTATGCCATTAACTCTGTTTAAGAATTATGTTATTTATCTGAAAATTAATTTACAACACATGCAATATCACCTCCCATGCCCCAGACCTCACCTGCCAAAATAAAGCCATTGCCCGCTTTAACCTGAAATCACAACACCCACCTTCTGAAGAAGGGGAAATACAGGGGAATATTGTTTAACAAGTACCCTCTAATTAATTAATTAGGGTATATGGACTTTCTCCTCCCGGTGAGTCCAGATGCCAGGATGCAAATATAGGCTTAACAAGTGTGAGTTACAATTTTTTTACTATCATCTGACTATGCTTCACTACTGGACTAAACATTTTGCAGTATTGCCAGACATACCCCTGCATTTTTATTTTGGGTGTTCTGCTTGTCCAGATGATCAGATTTCTGCTGTCCTGGCTATTATTGTGTATCTATGTCAATTGTTTCTGTCAACAGGGAGAATGGTAAGTGAAGAAAATGGCCTACATTCAGTTCACTGTAAGATTTTCGAGTTGTCTTTACTCACCAAGCCTGTTTTTATGTCTGATGCTCTCTCAATTTTCATCCATTCATATGCATAAACCCTTATTCTCGTGTGTGGCAACACAGGACCTGTTGCCCAGTGCTGGTTGTTCCTGACATAAAGTTAATCCTGGTGATCCCAAATGGGGCCTGAACTAATTGAAAACACCAGAAACAAAACAGCTGAGGTACTTGGCATTCAGCTGCCAGCTCTGCAAGCAAACACAGATGAGGGGAAATACTTTTAATGAGTGGAGCTAAATTAAAAATATTGTTTTATCAATGTGGAAGTTTAGGTTTGTGTACTTGGTTCTTGCAGAAATTTTCATTTTTGTATTTAAAAATCCTGTGAGAGGTAAGAATTTGGCACCAGGTATTCTCTCAGCAGTGTGGATTAGGTTACAGCCCATGACATCACAGCAGACATTGTATCAATCTAAGAAGGTATTTTCAGAGGAATATGAAAGAACAATTATTAATAGAATTATGAAAAAAGCTGGGGCCCAATTTGGTGGGGTGTCAAGGAAAAAACTCTGGCAGGATCAAACCCTGTTTGGCACCAGAAACGCTTTCTTTTGGACTTGGAAGGATTCATGAAGTGAAAAACTGACACCAGGTTGCTACAACAACATGTGGAAGTCATGTACCTGGACACTGAAATGCTGAAAACCTTCTGCTTTTTCCATACAATCAAAGAGCAATTTAGAAAATAAAATAAAATAAAATAAAATAAAATAAAATAAAATAAAATAAATCTTTCCAAGAAGGAGCAGGAAATATATGCATAAATCAATGATGCCTCAGAGTGGAGAATAACCAGACAGCTGCAGCCTTGGTGGCCCATCCAGTACATTTCGAATGAAGGAACAAAAAAATTAAAAGCAAATGCAGAACAATGTCAGAGTTTTGCAAAAGCAAAGAGCCAATTAGTGCTCTAAAGAGTTGTGCCCCTATTTTGCATAACTGCATGGCAATTTTTTGGACATTGACGTTTTAATATGCTAATAATTTCTGTATTCACAGACAATTCATAAATTCACTTTTCTTTATAGCAATAGCTAGAAATTATCACCTATCAGACATTGCCAACACCATGCAAACAACTGGCTTAAACCTGAGCACTTCTGTGTCAGGTTTAACCCTACCACAGCAATCATTTTTTTAATATCTTGTGCTGATGTGGATATATTTTTATTGCATGTGTTTCAAGGCCTGTAACTCACGACCTGTTATGAAAGAAATATTTTCTCCTCTCTGAAATAGCGTATTCCAAGGGAGGATTTTCCAAAAGTACCACGGAACTGGAAACATGCTCTACTTCAAAGAAAATTCTGTGACTGGTGAGGGTTTCCTATCCCAGTGACACGTGCTCTGGGGGTTTGTAGTCAAGTCTGTGCTCAAGTGGCATGGTTTTCTTTTTCCTGAAAGTCTCACACGTGTAACACTCTGACTTCAACCACTGCATCCAAACAAGTGGGCTGAAAGTTCCGTCTTATCCATGGTGGGAACAGACAAACTGCATTCCCTCTTTTCTGGCCACGTGGGCAAAGGAAAACTGAACACAGGCAAAGGGGTGAAGAACGGAATGGAGGCCAAAGATTTTCCTTCTCTCCATCCTGCCAGGTAACCTGCTGGCATTCCCAGATTTGGAATGTTTGTTCTGAACTGCTGCAAAGCATTCCTTGTGAAATACGTGGAGCAGTGGTGGCTTGCAGTGCAAGGCACCTGTCAATTCTAGCCGTGCTGTGTTTACATACGTTTGGTCACTGACTCATTTTCCCAACCTTTGCTTACTAAGTCAGGTGAGAGGGACAGCCCTGATACTTCATAGTTACAGAGTGAAAGAATTCCACTTGCACTGGTATAACATGGAACTTGTCTCACTGCCTTAAGCAAGCCATTTACCAACAACAACAGTGACAACAAGCTGCACTCAGTGTACAGGACCTGCCTCGTGCTCTTCCCATCCAGCAACTGAGAATTCCTGTGAGGAACTGATGTGTCAGAGCCCCACAGCTTGCTGGGTCAGATTCCTTGCACCTCGTAGCTACCCGGCATAGTGTTCTCAAACATCAGCCAATTCACATTAATAGAACACTTTCATGTGATCCGGGGAGAAAGGGGATCCACACACCAGCCAGGAGGGAAGGAGTGCAGAAGGTTATATAAATCAGGGACAGAGTGGTACATTTTCATTTTCGGTCGAGGGGAAAATTGGGTGAGTACTTTTTTCATTAGTTCTTTAAATTTAAAAATGTCTAGACTCAGAACTGTTCACTAATTACGTTTTAGACGTTACAGAAAGGCAAAGGGAGTGTCTTTCAAAAGAAGAGAATTTTTTTCCTCTGTGCCATTAAAAAACGGTGTCTCCTTTGAGGTTCTATAGTTTTCTGATCTCTTGTATAACTTGTTTTGCAATCCACATATCCTATATAGCACGTCTGCAGGATGATGCCTAGTTAGCCAGCATCTTTCTGAGACCAAGAGACTGATTGTAAAACGTGCATGTCCTAAAATAGCCATTTCAAAAACATGTTACAACATTACAGACTGTCATAACTATTTGCAAAATGCTGGAGCTTTTAAACGTGGCTCTCTTCCACTGTTGTTCTTCTTCTTCTTTTTTTTTTTTTTTTTTTTTCAGAAATGGTTCTGAGGGTTTGTTTCAGAAATGACTGCTTGTTGTTTTTAAGTTGCCACGTAACAACAAGAACGTGTTTTTCTCGTGCAGAATCTCAGAGATAAAATGAGCTGGTTGGTCACCATGCAGATGTTGAACAGTGTTCTGAAGGGAGAACTGGCTGGGATGTTTCCCCCCCTCATGCACAGTAAGGTTTCCTTCAGGCTGTAAAACACAACACTGAACAGCTGTAGGTGCAGTTTTGCCTCAGCTGACCCAAAGCTCTCATAGATCTTCGGGTAGTTGAAGTCCCTTTTAGTCCTGCCCACTAGGAGGACTAATTAGATCAAAATAATACTTCACTAGTTTGAGCTTAGCAAGGATTTGATTATGTTATTTTTTTAAACTTTGATGGCATG